ATGAAGCTGATCCAGTTTGTTATGATCGTTTTCTGCTTCTGTCATCAGTCTCCAAATGCCTTTTCGTGTCCCCAAGATGATGATCCTTGCGGTGACTTCCAGCCGTTTTACGAAATGGCGCTAAAAGGACATGTCTTCCAGACGCTAAAAGTTCCAAGTTCACTTTATTGTTTAGAAGCTTGCAAGCACGAGGCAAGATGCCAGAGTTTCAACCACGTCATGGGAAAAGACACCTGTGAGCTCAATAACCGCACAAAAGAAGCAAGACCAGAGGACTTCATCTCAGACGTTACCAAGTTGTACTTGAAAAAGCCTAAGAATAGAGGTAAATTGTAGAAGAGTCAATTTACTGCATGACAAATATAAGATTTTAGGAAACTCTCCACCTACCTCTCCCTTTACTCGATATTTTTCCTTAAGTGTAAAGGTAGGATGTTAAAGTTGGGTACTGTTATGGGAGGAATACTGAGGTGGGCAGTTTTTAGAGTCTCTAAAAGACGCCTCTATGAGACGGACACCTCCCCCAAACGTACACCTGGAGTTGGTTCTCACCTTCGTACTTCAGTCATCTTCTTTGTCGCTCTATAACACGGACAGAGTACAACTAACTGGCTGAGATGGACACTAAATGGCATTGAGTCCCTCTCTCCGCCGCAGAGCTGAGGCTCGCGATCCGTAACAACAATTGCTACAGATTTTACTTGTTATCAGGTGATATCTGGTTGTAATAGAGTTAATTTAAGTCTTGTCTTGTCTTGTCTAAAAATAGTAAGCGCGGGGTGGACGACGAGAGGAGAAAAAAGGAGGGAGCCCGGCCTGTTGTTCTGTCTTTCGCATTCTTATCGTCTGCTGCGCGCTTTTTTATTTTCCTCTCCCCATCCTCCTCTCGACGCAAGGAGGCTTACGCAGATGAAAGAGAGGCAGTAGGGACTTTAGGCAGTGACCTTTTTGAGCGACGAACGTCAACCGGAAGTTAATCTTCTTCTCTTTTTATATGCCATGACGCTACCAAATTTGTATTGCCAGGAGTCTTCACTCTTAAAGAGACGTTTTGCCCAAAACTTTGTTCAAAATCACGGCTCAACAGTGCAAAAAAAAAGTTGCACTTTTTTGTCGCCCGTTTTTCCGTACCTTAAAGCTAAAGTGTAAGGTTACGTTATGTCGTGTTCTCTTGTGGTTTACCACTTTTCGCCACTTAGGTAATAAATGAAACTAGGCACCTTAATTTTCTTCCTTGAATGCTGAGAGAATGCTATGTACTCGGTTTTCCTTCACAAAATAACACACAACGCAAAATCAAAGTGAAGGGAAAAATCATTTTAAATATGTGGAATAAACCTGAACACTCCCTTAAAAACTCCATTCTGGGTTCGTTTCCAGCTGATACCAATTCGGATTAAATGGGAGGAGGTCTTTTCCACCTAGATTTGACGCGTAAATTGTAAGCTAATTAAGATGTGCTAAACGTTACTTCTTTTGACAGTGGCCCTTGGATCCATTCCTGAACTTCCAGCTGTAAGCTGCGAGGAAATAAAGATGAGTGAGGGACAGGTTGTGGCCAGTAAAAAATACTGGATGATCTGTATAAACCAGGATATGGCAGTACTTGCTTACTGCAATATGACGACGGGAGGTGAGCTTAATTACCTGCGAGCCTTTGCGAGCCAGCACACAACTCTACAATAGCGGGAAAATGCCAAAATTTGGCGGACGTAAGATCTGTAAGATTAGAAGCATGCACAATAGATTGTTTTTTTTTATTATTATCCGGGATATTCACTCCTGTGTGATGACGTCTGGTAAAACGTGCTCGTGGACGAGATTGAGATATTTCGAGTAAATGTCCAGGGTGCAAGCAGATTATAAACGAGGAGAGTGTTTTGTAATTGCTTATTATAACGTTATTTTATTTTAAAACATGCTTACCAACCCTAATTACCAGAGGTCACTTTCATCTACGTCCCTTTATTTATTTTCAAACTGTATTCCTCGTATTTTCTTCCACCTCTGATGCCAGTGCTAACTTTCAAATTGAAACTCCTACTCGTTTTTCTTATCGGAGATGTTTGATCACAAATTGCTTAAAAATATTAATGATTAATTCTCGCATTAGCGTCCCTTTAATTAAGTGTACCCGCATTCGAATAAGTGTGCTTACTTTTCACACCCCTTCTTATCCCCCCTCCTGATTTAACGGTTTCACGACAAAGTTGACTGACGAAAGCAAAGATTATTAGTAGGAAAAAACGCCATATATTACAGATTTGTTTTTCACTGATAAAGTGCTGGCACCCTAGTGTTAAATTGACTTTGAGGAAAGAGGGAACGTTTGCAATGTATTACCAACAATACTATTTAGTCATATTACCGATAACGTGAGTTCAGTGAGATCTAAATTTTCGTTGTCTTCCTGATATACCCTGAAGTGTTCATTCAACAGTTTAAGGTCCCCTTTCCCTGATAAATTAAAGTAACTGAAAACCTTAAGTGTCGTTAACATCTTTTGGTGGCTTTGCTGCTAACGAGGAGGTCTTATGTAAGGTGGAACTTGGATTTACGGGGGGAGCGTATTCTTTCTGAGACGCGAAACTTGCTAAACTTGCACGAGTTCTTGTTGTAAGGCGTTTACCAAACCGGCTTTTTCAGTATGTATTGGTTTGTTTTAATTTTCAGTGCCTCTTATCAATTTTACAACAAAAGGATACACGGGACGATATGGTATTATTCAAAGATTCATAGTTCCGAAGTCCGGTGTTTATCTGATAAAAGCCTGGGGTGCTCGAGGAGGAACACACTCGACTAACTATGGAGACTATCCCGGAACTTACTATGGTGGAAGAGGAGCGATGAAGCAAGGAACGTTTTGCTTGAATGTAGAAACTGTTCTGAATATTGTGGTGGGTCAGAGAGGAGGAGACTCAGTGGAAGTGAAAGGAGGACAGTCTACTAACTTGACGGCAGCGCAACTGGAACTGTCTGTAGAGGACAATGCTGGTACTGGGGGAGGGGGAGGGAGCTTCGTTTATACAACAAATAACGAGCTTTTGTTAGCTGCCGGAGGGGGAGGGGGTGCGTCTAATGGGTATAACGGGGTGGATGGTCAGGCGGGTCCTAATGGCACCAGTAGTGTAGGGAACGATTCAAGTGCGATTTATGGCGGAGGGACTGGGGGACAACCTGGTCAATGTAACAATAATCCCGAGACGGCTGACTACCATGGGGGAGTGGGTGCAGGTTGGTTGGGGGAAGGGTGCGCCAGAGTCGGCCCAGAACATGGGGAAAGGGGTGGATCACGTACCCAGAATTGGGTGGGGGGACGTGCTGGAGGAATGAATAGTGGCTATAACGGTGGGCAACCCCCTGGGGCAGTAGGAGGGTTTGGCGGTGGGGGAGGAGGTTCCGAGGATAATGGTGCATCAGGAGGGGGTGGTGGATATTCCGGGGGAGGAAGTGGTTTATGGGATTCTCAAGCCGGTGGGGGAGGGGGCTCGTACTGTAGTGGCTCAAGCTGTTTAGGTGTCACTGGAGGTAATATGAATGATCACGGATTTGTGGAAGTATTTGAGTTGTGAAATATTGATAACATAAAGTTCTTGGCTTTACTGATCTTCCACATGATACATCAACTGTAACAACTAACATAAAATTTGCCTGAATTTTCAATAGCTTGAGAAAACAGCCGACACTTCGCGCCTCCACCGCTGGTTCCCCCGCGAAATGACGTCTGAGAAAAAACGAGTGCAGAAATTCCATACTGATGACTCGTCGCTACCCAGATTTGGGTCGTGCTTCTAATTGGTTGAATCAAATTTTCAACAAATCAAAAGCCCTGCCCAGATCTGGGTAGTGATGCGTCATCACTATGGAACTCCTGCCCCCGTTTTCCAGACGTCATTTCGCGGTAGGTCACTAAATGTCAACTGTCTTCTCAGACTAGATTTTCAAACGTGCATAAAATTAAGTCTTTCTTTCTTGCCTGTAGACCATACTAGCGACGTTTTGAATTAAGTATGCAGCAGCCATTGCGTCCTCCCCCCCTTCCCACGCTCTTTCATGATCCTTGCTTCTTTCTCTCCTCTTTTATCCTTCTATTTTTCGCCTTTGAGGTGTCTTTATGCTTTTTGGACCGATTTCAAAACCAGCTAGATATATACCCGATAAAACCTGTAACCCGGTGACATTCTTTTTGAAATAGTGCTTCACTATTCTAGGCGCACCTGAGATGGTAATAAGTGCGAATTTAGTTGCGTTAGGGAAACAACCGGGAGACAACTTAGTTTTTAAGGTTGCTTGAAGAATCGACCTAATAAGTGCAAATTCATTAGTCGTGAAAGAAACTCTTCCCGTCAATTACATCCCCTAAGAGCGATCTATTGATCGGTTTCACTGTTCAGTAGTTAGCCCTGTGCAGCTGGCAAATCTATCTGGAGAATCCATGATTCGCTTCAAAATCATGTTAAATAAGTATATGCAACTAACCAAAATCAAACTAAATAACTAACATACTGGTAATCCCTTACAATTTACCAATAAATATACAAGACAGGTGTCCATTCATCCTCGGAGACCCAGGGGCAGTTAGTTGGGTCGATAAAATGTTCGTGGTGAAAGTTTTCTGTAAGATCGAGACGAGCCCCTGGGCACTTACTCTTACCGAACCAGTTCCAGAGGCGTTTGAATTGCCTGCTTCTGATTGGCCAGAAAAATTTTTTTCTGGCCAATCAGCGAAGAGAAGCTGCCGGGTGACTCTTGTGTTTTCTTACACGACGTAGTTTTCCTCATCGATCGCCATAGTTGCTTAGCGCGTTCAACGGGGAAAGTTTCTCGAGGAAAGTTTCAGAACAAAATGTTAACAACCCGCAAAAGTTACAACCTTTAGCACGGCTACAAGAAACAAACACTCTCCGATGAATTTTTAAGGCGGATCTTTCCAAGGTATCGTAAATCTTTATTGCTGATACGATACGCGATGCACGACTTTCACTTTCCACACCTTAATTTGCTCACATTGTCTAGTATACAACGCCAAGCTGACATTTTAGATGCCCATGTTCGTTGCACGACTTCTGAAACTTTCTACAGCGTGAAAATTTCGGTTGCACGGGCCACGCAACTACGTCGATTGATCGTGGGAATTGCTGGCTTGCTGTAGTGCACGCACCATCTTAATTCTTTCACGCCAAACTCCCTTACCGTACGTATTTTAAATACAGCCGTTGTGTTTAGTTCGAAATCTCGGTCCGGTTATGTGCTGAATCCTGACTTGTTAAGTGAGGTTGATTTTTCCAGGCCGTATGGGTTTGTTTTTACGGATAAGCAAAGAAAAAAAAATAAAGGTGAGTTTGCGAAAATGTTTGAAAGTGGTTGGTGTGAAAGTGTTTGGAGGGCGATAAACGCGCAGTGTTTGACAGGTGTAGGTATAGAGTTGAGAAATCGAGGAAGGGTGGGATGTCTATATAGATAGTTTTGTAGTCCCTAAAACTTTACAAGAAGTGAACACTCTTAAGGAAATTCCAGGGAGAAGAGACCAAGGAATAGGGACACTTTCCAAAGATCCAACTTAAGCTCGTGATTTCTAGGACCTGGGTCTCTGGCTTACTAAACCGCATAAGAGAACCTGGGTTAATCTTCACTGTGATTAGAATTATGGCTAATATGGTAGAAATGAATTTTTATTATAAGATATCTTTTAACAAATACATGTCTAAAGGTAATTTCACATACCGGTAATATGTGATTTTTTGCCAAACTATTTATCTATGATTGGCTTGATGTTTCCCCTTACTAACCCCCTCAAACACATCCACAATGCCATTGTTTTAACTCCCTTGCTATTGATGGTACAACATTGGACTTATTTTGAAAGAATAATGCTGCAATATTAACAATTTTCCTTTGGTGCATTTGTTTGATATTTCATATTTTCTCTATCATAATTCTCCTCATCTGACAATAATATTCTTCACTGCTGATTATTTTTAAATCTTTAAATACCTTCTTCAGAAGGATAAAAATCTTCATTGTATGGTCACCATTCCACACAGTGTCTCTAAAATACTTTCCACAGAACATCATTTATTACAATTATCAATTATTGTTTCCTGTAGAAGACAATCAGAGAATGCAAATTCTAGAATACAAGCAGTAAAGATTTGATTCTTGAAATTCCTGTCTCGGATCATCTTGATTTCTTTAAGCAGACTAACAGTCTTTGGCACTGATGTCGTAACATTAGTGGCTTAGAATGGTTCTGCTGTTTTCATTACTGTCATCAAAAAAGGAAGGATTTTTTTCTCTTCTGCAGGTTGTGCACTAAATAAAATCTAAAAGAAGAAAGGCTTTAAGAATTATTGAAAACAGTAAGTGACAATTTCAGCACAGTTCCCTTTTTCAAAGAGTGTTGGAAAACAGTTGTATGTTATGCGTAGGTATACCATATTTACTAGTGTATAACGTGCTCCTGAATATAATGCCCACCGCATTTTTCTAGACCATTCTCAAATAATATAGTCAGGTATACCTGTTGGCCACCTAGTAAAACAAACCCTTTGGGAGCGAAAGAATCACCAACAAATGCCCTAGCGTAAACGTTTTATAACAAATTAAAATAAAATAAAATATTACAGCTCCCTACTATTTACATAACTCAAATAGACATGTGAACTCCAATAATGATAAAGTAAAAAAAAATCTCAACAGCTTAAAAATAAAATTAATGTAATGGCATCTGTACTTCTGTATAATGGGATGTTTTCCCATTTATAATTATATCAATGTTCAATTGCACTATTATCTTAAGCAGTCACAAGGCTTACTTCATCAGCTTTCAATTGTCATTAAATGGTGACAAAAAACATGATAATTCTTGTGAAGTGTCTGTCAGCTTTTAGACATAAGATTACTGAGCATCCTTGAATAAAAGCCAGATCTACTGTTAAGTATAATGAGGGTCCTGAAGGGGGGGATATCAATCTCATTGAAACTGTTTAACCCTCCATTCCCATTTTTTCCCATTCTCAGTGATAGATTACCCCCTGCCAGTGACTTAAATCCCATTTTCCCAGAGCAACAACATCCCATTTTACTCCTTCAGAACCCCCCACAATGAATTCAGTATAGCACCCTTCCTAGTAAACAAATCAGCAGACTTACCAATGAACAGCTGTACGTACTTGCAACAGGATTCTTCTGGTAAAACTCCATAGAGAACATTGCCCTGAATTTCTTGTCCCCCAGTTAATGATTCCGGGCTTATGTACAACAAAGAAAACGCTCCCTATCCATTCAATATTTCTCGATCTTTCGTTTTACTTTCCGCTAAGTAAGTGGCCTGAATTTCTAGTGACCTCGAGTACTTTACCTGGTCCTCAATAATTGACATGAGAGGTAAAATAACTATGACCAGTGGATTACTAGGGAATTCATAACCTTTAGCATCTAACGATTTTTAAACCCCCAAGCTTATAGGCAACATTTGGAAGGTTACACTCTTCTACCAATTGCCCAAAAACATCTCTTCTTTCCACAATCTTCTCAATAATAAATCTTTGCTTCGCTTTGAACTGTACCACCGGAAACAAAGACAAGCCTTCTTCAAGCGCTTTCTGGTTAACACTACTATCAACTTCGGCCGAATTCGTACGGTCAACTGCTGTAAGCTTTTAAGCTTAAAAGTTTCGAAAGGAGTTTGGAGCGAAAGCAACCGCACTGCAGCTAGCTGGCATTTCCCACGATCAATCGACGTAGTTGCCTGGCCCGTGCAACGGAAATTTTCACGTTGTAGAAAGTTTCAGAAGTCGTGCAACGAACATTGACATCTAAAATGTCAGCTTGGCGTTCTATACTAGACAATGTGAGCAAATTAAGGTGTATAAAGTGAAAGTAATGTATAGCGTATCGTATCAGCAATAAAGATTTACGATACCTTGGAAAGATCCGCCTTAAAAATTCATCGGAGAGTGTTTGCTTCTTGTAGCCGTGCTAAAGGTTGTAATTTTTGCGGGTTGTTAACATTTTGTTCTGAAACTTTCCCCGAGAAACATTCCCCGTTGAACGCGCTAAGCAACTATGGCGATCGATGAGGAAAACTACGTTGCGTAAGAAAACACAAGAGTCACCCGGCAGCTTCTCTTCGCTGATTGGCCAGAAAAAAATTTTTCTGGCCAATCAGAAGCAGGCAATTCAAACGCCTCTGGAACTGGTTCGGTAAGAGTAAGTGCCCAGGGGCTCGTCTCGATCTTACAGAAAACTTTCACCACGAACATTTTATCGACCCGACTAACTGCCCCTGGGTCTC